CATTTATTTTTGGGCAAGAAAGCAAAGAGAACTTTTATGGTTGATGAAATTTTATTTTTATTTCAGGAGTATTAGAGTATTGGACAAGCTAGATTGAGTTAATGAAATTTGTTTTATTCTCCAGATACATTTTCTCCATCCGTTTGCCAATTTATTGCTGAAAGGAAACATGAAAACCAAAATTCTGGTGTCCTGTCTTGGGTTACCTCACTTAGAGATGACAGTCCAGTAGGAATTGTAGAATTAAATGACTTCGTCTTTGCTGAAAACCCTCGGTGAGGACCTTTTTGACATTTTCTCAGCAGGCTGGTGCTATGCAATAGAGCAGGAGTTTTCCTTCAACATCCACGAATTCCCAACCTCATAAACCTCTCCATATTCATCCCACAATCAATCATTTTTTTCTAGAATTGATATTTTACATAGAGTAGTAGTGTGGCAGAGAGCAAAGCGACGAGCTGTAAGTATTAATGCATTTTGTTATTGACGAAAATGCTTTAAAAAGTTTTAACTGAAGAGAACAAAATACATTACTGACTTATTTTTGCATGAATATATTCATTCAATCTCAAGACGCTAACGGTTATATAAAACGCTAGTACCGTCAATGGTAGCAATTTTGGTCATACTTCACCAGCAATAAATATTATCAGCGATGTCCCTAACAACATGCACTTTTTGGTGAAAAAACCTTTGTGGCACTCAACTGAGAAGCATAGTAAGCTCTATCTAAAATGTTATGACATGCATATTTGAGTTTTCATTTCATTAGGGCACAGCTTGTGTAAAAGGACGAAGTGAGGTAAGGGGAGGTGGACGGAAGCCGTGGCCACAGAAAGGACTTGGCAAAGCAAGGCAAGGAAGTATAAGAGCACCCCAATTCAGAGGAGGTAAGGTTCTAACATTCTTCAATTACAAAGACTATTATTAAGCTGTCTGATATCACAAAAGATGAACCACGAAGGGATTACACTGTGATCAGATGTCAAGTAGAAGGTTTTTACATTGATCATATTTTATTCTAACTTTTGCAGGTGGTGTTGTCCATGGTCCTAAACCCAGAGATTATGAATATACCTTACCAAAGAAAGTCAGACGAATGGGACTACGTGTTGCTCTGTCTGTTCGATATGCACAGGTAAGGAAGCCCCTCTACATTAGGCAACTAGTCTGCTATTTCCAAATCAATGTGTTAGTTAGCCACACCCTGAGTTCATTTCAGGTACAATCTGTGAGTTAGCTATGCCCTGATTTAGATCAGCCCAGAGGTTGTTTCAGGGTTTGATCTGTGAGTTAGCCATGCCCTGACTTAGATCAGCCCAGAGCTTGTTTCAGGTTCGATCTGTGAGTTAGCCATGCCCTGACTTGGATCAGCCCAGAGGTTGTTTCAGGGTTCCATCTTTGTGTTAGCCATGCCCTGACTTGGATCAGCCCAGAGGTAGCAGCCCAGAGGTTGTTTCAGGGTTCGATTTGTGAGTTAGCCATGCCCTGACTTGGATCAGCCCAGAGGTTGTTTTAGGATTTGATGATAAATACTATACTTGCCTTTAGTACAAAAATCTTCACATCTACATCGTACTGTGTTACTGTTCCACTCTGTTCATTATCGATCTTTACCATCTGCTGTAGGGTGATCTTCACATCGTAGAATCTTTTGATGACATTGAACAAGATAAGGTACAGTATTGACAATATTTCCGATTTTTTTTGGTATTACCTGGAGAAGAACAGAAAAAATAGCAACCACTTTTTTTGACATCGAGGAGCAAAATAGAATAAACTGCTGTTTGATGTCAATCAATGCACAAGATTGCAAACTTAGCAGTCATTCCATATGTCATAGAGAACTGTGTGTTTTCTGACAATCCATCAAAAGCTACTTTGCTGTTATGATTGTTATTGAGAATGTAAAGAATGGAAGAAAATGAATGGAATTAGAACATGCTTTTTTCATGCTTTTTTAGGATTTGATTCCCATTTTGGAACACCAAGGATGGACCTCGGCAGTTTTGGTCGATGGGTGAGTAAGTTTACCCTTTATTATACTATAATTTTATTATTATTAATATCATCACCATCACCAGCATTATCAGTCTTGTTAAATTGAATCATTCCTAACCCTTTTTCTCACTAGTTTAAAAAACGCCACCCTTGCTGATGCCGCAGAAGACTTGAGAAAAGTTGATGTCTACCATAGTGAAAGTATGTTGTGTTGCTAAATTTCATCACAAAATTGCTTATTAGATTCAGCTTATATTATTATCTGTGCTTATTAGTTACATTATAACATTAAAAATATTCTGAATATTATTATCATAACATTGATGATAAACAAACCTATATATTTTTTATGTAGATGATGGCTAGTAAACACTAGCGTGGACTGCGTCGGTGTTTCTAATAAAACAGTTATCGTAGAATGATAAGTTATACACCGTAGTGAAAATAGTAACTGACGTTTCGGACGTTAGTCCTTCGTCGGAGTCAATATATATTTTTTATATATTTTACCATCACATGATGGCAGCCATGTTAGATGGCAGGAACAATACAATTATTGTTTTACTTGAAAAATAATTCAATTTGCAAGAGAGCAAAGGGATTTTATTGTTCTGCCATCTAACCACAGGCTGTCCAAGCTGTATYATGGCTGTGAGCACGTGATGGTGCAAAACCTCTATTGCTTGAGATAACAAAATATTGAGAGAATTTATAATCATCATGTATCATGATTCATCGTCATCAGTCATCATTAGCATATCATCAATTATCTACAATTCATCACCATCACCATTACAAAGGATATCAACACTAAAAATAAGATAGAAATAATCAAACTGCTCGGTAATATGAATGTATTTTTTTGCCCTTTAATTTTAGACGTGAATGTGTATAGTATTCTGCTGCGGCACAAAATCATTATCTCCCTTGATGGTGTCAGGAGGTTGGAAGAGAGACTCTGTGAAGACAATCGTATCTTACAAAACCAGTTTGGATAGAAATGTTGACATTCTCTGAAAGTTACTCTAGACTTGTAAATAATAAAAGGATTTGAAATAGAATATCATTATTTGTGTATGGTTTTTTAAATGACTGGTTCACTTTGCTAATAACAGGGTTCATGCAAGTTTGTGCTACTCCTTAAACTCCTTGAATTTTTGCTTTGATCATTACTTGCATGGTTCTGACCTAGATCTAGTCAGAAAGATCAGAAAATCTGAAAGTCGGCCATGTGCAACCACCATGTAAAACCTTGGCATATTTAGCTGAACATACTCCTTGAAATTTCATTTTTGGGTCCTTGTATACTCCTTGAATTTTAAGTGGTTACCTCAGCAAGAACCCTGTGATAAGTAATACAGTACAGACATACAAACTGGGACCACTTAAACAAAATTCAAGATAAAGAATCAGAAAAGAGTACAAATCAGTATCATATTGACCTTGGCCGATCACGATCTCTGATTCCCACAGTTGATAAAATCTATGTATTTTACTTTGTTTGCTGCTGATTGGTTCAAGTGCGACAAACTATGCTGTGATTGGTTAACTTTCTTCAAGTGCCACCGTTAGTGTCTGCCCATATAATATTACATTTCAGCAATCTTTGGTTGTGTAAAGTTCTCGCAAGGAAGAACATAGCAAAGTATTAAAAAAACTGTAAATTATTATTTCAAAACAATTTATTCTCAAATTTACTATTTACAATAATTATTGATATACTTACACTGACTTAGTGAAGAAGATATCAAAAACACTCGAGGAATAATAATTGAATTATATACCGGTTCAAGGAAATAAATTCTTGATTCAAATAACAATGGGGAGAAAATTTAAAAACTTAGAGGCAGGATTTACTTTTGAAAACACAATGACAAGGAATGCTGGTACAGTAGATGTTTTTAGCTTGAATATGTTTTCTCATTACAGACCATATGTCAGTCTCTTGAGAATAAGATTCTTTGTTTACTTATATCCATATTCCAGCTTCTTCTCATGCCAAAATGTTAAACAAAGAAATTCGTACTCTAGGGAATAACCCATGGTCTGAAATGGGAGAAACTTGTATGCCAAGCTAAAAGGCTCATAGAATAGGTTCTGAAAGTAAAAGGCTGTTCAGGACTCCCCCATTTGGTTAAGGATTCTCATCTAAAAACCTTACCTTTCACATTATATCTGTGATACTATTTTCTCGAGCCTACCTCACTCCCCCCATCACTACCTTTGGAATTTCCTAGATCTTCCACATGTATGCACAAAAGATCCTACAGCCCTTGTTGATTCTGCCATGCCCTGCTGCTACTGTATCTTACAGCAGAGTTATTCAAACTCTTGCCATATTTGTTCTAACTTGCCAGCGTAGATTTTGCCGTTTCTTGTCAGTGGGAACGACATAGTTATTTGGCACATACCGCCGTTGAGGTCGCTAAAAAAACAAAATATGGTATGTCACTTTTTGGCAAATATGACAGTGATGGCAAACAGTGCTGTAATTTAAATAATAGAGCTTCAGCATGACGCTCCTTATACAGTAGGTACTGCAAACCTCAAACTACAGTTCAAAATCAGGCGTTTTAAATCAAAATTTTGACATTCAGCAAGGCGGATGGAAGAGCTGCTATATTGAATTTCATTGATACAAATGGTTTTTCTGTTTGCCAAGATGATTCTTGACCTGTTCCCTAGTGGTAAATGGCAAACCTGATGCTAAAAAGGTCTCTAATGATTTTTTAAACAGCCTTACCTCAAAGATATCACACTGTAATAATTGTCCCTTAAAAAAGAAAAAAAGAACAATAATTGAAATTATTCCTCACTTCAAAATATAAATATATTTAAATGATTTATATCATTTTCACACTGCCATTTCCTATCCCCTACTTTGCTTCTAGGAGACATGGGGTCCTTTCCCATGGTGTTCACTGCTAACGCACTGTCTCATGCTGCTGTGACCATGGGTTAATCCTTGGATTTGTCATTGTATGTGAGTCAAGTTCATAGTTTGCTTCCTCTTGTGGTTTAAGGGATTTTTTCAGGTTCTCTTGTTTTACTGTACTCCCTCCTCAAAAATTAACTTCTAAATTTGATAATGGACCTAGGGCTACAGGTTTTGTTTACCACAGGCTAATAAATACTACCCTTGTGAAAATAAGCATGGTTTTTTCTCTCCAAAGGACAGAAGAGACAGGAATATCTATATGAATCTTGCTAAAAAATATTAATAATGCTCCTCATTGATAAGATTTCATACCCTAACATTCCATCGTAATGACTTGTGGCTCTTTTCTCCTGGAGCCTTGTTATTCTCCCATTCACGACTGAACTGACGATACCTAGTCGACAACAATTACAACACCATTTAGTCTGTAACCTTCATTTTCAGTAATTCAAAGTATTAAAAGCAATAAATGATAAACTTTTGAGTCTATACAACTGGTTTTGAGAGCAATTATTAATTTAGCTTTTGACTAAATTATTCAATTACGCAATTACTTGGAATATTGGTGAGAATGCTTGGCTATTGCTATGATTTGCTGAATGTGGTTTGGATGTGTTCCATCGAGAGACCTTATGCATCGGCAAGAATTGGGGACGGCGATGCTGGTCGATGACACAAGGATATTTTCAAAACTTTTTTCTATGTGTATGTTTTCGTGCTTAGTTCTTCATAGCATTAAGTTGGTGCTTTTCACGGAAACCTTTTCACGTCATACGTAGAAAGAGCTGCAATGCCAAGGATGATGACATAAAGAACCATTATGAAGTCCTAACACTACAATTGCTCGCTCTAAACATCTGGGAACATTTTACCTATTCACTGGGTCACACTTTTTGATTCCTCTTGTATGAGGATGACTTGTTCTTGGTCTGATATCTGAATCGTAATGTGAAAGATAATAAGATTATTTCAATAATAGGGAGGAAGTACAATCATCAAAGAATCTTGGCTTTAGAGCAGTCCATTGCTAATACCCATACAGTTCAGCAGATCATACAATAATTGTACAGTAATATACTTACATGATGGTAATGCACCTCCAGCTTGTTGCCCCTCCCACGGACGGTAATCGAGAGGTTGTTGAAATATGTTGTCATATTTTGGGTCACACAAGGGAAGTTCTCTCAACCTCTGCTCAAGCTCTGAAATATCAGTTCCTGTTGAACCTTGAGTGAAATAACATATATATATATATATATTATATATATTGAAAAGTTGTTTTCTAGGGTCAGTGGTTAGCTGGTCATACAGTGTATTAACACACGATATCTAGTAGTAACATCATACTGCATCATTACATCAAATTGAATGAAACTGAAAGCTACCCAATGTATTAACAAAATCAGGAATCAAGAGAGGTATAGCAATATGTACTTATTGACTGAGTGGGAGGGCTGTACGGGAAAATATTTGGCTTGAGGTGATGCCGTACGGACCGAGGGCAGCGAGGTCCGTACATATTAGCGAGAGCCAAATATTTTCCTGTACAGCCCGATCTAACTCAGTCAATAAGCATTTTATCATATGACCCTAAATAAAAAAGATATTTTAAAAATTGCAAATTATGTCAATACGGTCGAAGGTTTTGAGTAGGGCTGTAGACTTCTCGCTCAAAGCCATACAGCCCTGCTCACGCCATACGGGTCATATGATAATAGCAATTATCTCTCAACTCTGGGCTTTTGGGTTTGATTCCTTGACTTGGCACCACACATGTGAGTAGAGTTTGATAGGTCTAGCTCTCCCACGACTCTAAGTTTTTTTATCAGGGTTCTGCAGTTTTCCTAAATTCTCAGCAAAAAAAGTCCCAATTCTATCTGTGAGTTAGCCATGCCCTGAATTAGATCAGCCCAATGGTTGTTTCAGGGTTTGATCTGTAAGTTAGTCATGCCCTGACTTAGATCAGCACAGAGGTTATTTCAGGGTTCAATCTGTAAGTTAGCCATGCCCTGACTTAGATCAGCCAGAGGTTGTTTCAGGGTTCAATCTGTAAGTTAGTCATGCCCTAACTTAGATCAGCACAGAGGTTGTTTCAGGGTTCTATCTGTGAGTTAGCCATGCCCTGACTTAGATCAGCACAGAGGTTGTTTCAGGGTTCTATTTGTGAGTTAGCCGTGCCTTGACTTTGATCAGCCCAGAGGTTGTTTCAGGGTTCAATCTGTAAGTTAGCCATGCCCTGATTTAGATCAGCCCAGAGGTTGTTTCAGGGTTCAATCTGTAAGNCAGAGGTTGTTTCAGGGTTCAATCTGTAAGTTAGCCATGCCCTGATTTAGATCAGCCCAGAGGTTGTTTCAGGGTTCAATCTGTAAGTTAGCCATACCTTGATAACCTCATTCGATAATTTTTTATTATGAAACTAACCCAATAAATCCCTACCTGAATCTGTGGAAGTAAATGATTCATCAAACACTCTAGCCTCTCCATTTCTCCGTCGTAGTACTTTCCTCTTTTTGGCCAATTTATGACTAGGTCTTTCATAATCAACTGAAGTGCCGTCTGATGTAGGTGTATCAACCTCTTTAATGGGATATAAGTAGTTCTCTTTACCATAGGGTATGTGACTCAACTATAAATTATTAATGAAATTAATAAATTAATAATAATATTAGGATTCTCAAATTTGATCAAAGTTGATCTACTTACTCCTTTCTTGCTGGTTATTTCTGCTGCTCTTCTTGGATAAAGCCTCTCTTTGTCTGATTCTGGTGAGGTCTCAGTCTGTTCATCTGTTGTACTGACAAAGCTATCTATCTGTTCTGTAGTGTCTAAAGTTGATGATGAAGCTGTACCTCTCTGCTGATTGGTAGCTGAGGACTCAAACTTTATAAGCTGCTGTAGATCTACAATATCAAAAAAAACATCAAAAATCAGTTTCTTGTTTTGACATACATTTGTATCTAGACAGCGCTGCTGGTAACTATTAAGTCAGGGTTAGAAAGCTTATAAAAGGTTTGATCAACGAAAATATCCAGAAGTATACGTATTTATCTTTTTAAATGGCTGCTTTGATGTTGATTACAAGCAATTCGTGGACTTTAGTCATCAAATAAATCATAAAAGGCTCAAAAATTGAAAATGTAGATCTAAGCTTAAGATAAAGTAAGCTTTGTTTTGTAAACTTATTGAAAAAATAAAGATTGATGGAATAAAGACTCACCATCAGCAAACTCTCTCAGCTTTTCTCTAGGAATATTCCTGTATCCAAGCTCAGCTAGCTTATCCCTTATCTCATCCTCAGTAAAATTCCAGTCTTCAGACATTCTTAGGAATAGAAAAAGTAATTTTAAAATCTAAGGCTTTTTGCTCAAAACTTTGAAATTTTCGCCGTTGAATGGAATGTAGAACATAGTCCCTCTCGACCTAAACTCCACAGCAAGCCCAATAACTGGTTTTCAGTTTGCGTCATTTCCTGTCCCGTGCAAGCACTGTCCCGTCCAGAATAAGCTGAATCACAAGTTTTCACGAAGAATCAATTTTGTTTTTGGGGTAAGTAATGAGATTAAAAGACTTTTATCAGCTGATCGAATAAAAATCCCGCAATGTTGAGAGTAAATTCCTTGAACACAGGAAGCCCAAACTTGGTTTGTTATTAACTACAGATAAACCTTTGAAAAAATATTTCATTGGAAATATTTATCAAGAAAGATTATAATTCCTAGTTTCGTATTAAGATTCATGCTAGGGTTCTTTAGATGAAGAATCAGATTTTCTTTTATATAACACGTAAGCTTTTACCGGAAACAATGAATAGACCAATCAGTGATCGCGTTCTATCTGTATTTATAAGCATGTGACTTTTATTCTTCAAAATTCTTCTAAGGATTCCCAACTAAAGGTAGTTCACATATTGCTTTATTTGTGGTCAAATCCAACGAGCTTTTTCCAGATGGAGACAAAGARAGGTAAATACAACATGCATTGGCATTTTAACTTGTTTTGTTTACAGGAAATTATCTGCTTTATAAGCTTCTGCAGAGAGTCTTTGTCCCGAGACAAGCGCATGGTGACAAAAAAGTTTGAGCGCGGAAATAAAAATGCTCTTTTTCCTTTCTGGATTCATTCAGCCTCATTGCAGCGATAAGCATTATTTGAAATTACTTCATATTCATAATCTATTATTTCTGAATACAAACTTTAGAAACAGGAAATCGACTAATGTTTTGTTGAGTTATAAATTTAACATAGCTGAAATCTTAAATTCATAAATTAGAATCTAAAAAATCAGGTCAAATCTGTGATTGATGTAAGCTTGTATATATACAAATACACACAAATACATATATATACATATATATACACATACTCTCATCTAAGCTTGTATATGATATTTTGAGCTTCTTTATCACATCGATAAGAAATATTTATTTATGAAACTAGAAACCAGGAACTTTCGAAGGTCATCGTTCAAGTGCTACTATGACGAAAATGACGTCACAAACTCCAAAAAAATAATCGTAAAAATATCATACTTTCGTCCTGAATATCGAGAAAACACTTCATACAGTGATTATTGGACCTTTAAAGAGCATTGTTAGGAAGTTTCAGCTGAATCCAAGTTTGAGCGATTTTCGTCATAGTACACTTTCATACTTCATTTTTAGACTGAGAAAGGTGGGGGGTACTGGGGGGTACTGGGGGGTATGATATTTAGCGTCTATTAAAAGTAGGTCACTAAAAATATGTTATCTTCAAGTTGGGGTAGTACATACACTCCAAAATATTGTTTCAAAATGTAAAATACCCATGAATTCTAAGCACTCTTTTACGATTTAATTTTTAATCTTTTACACCACCAAACACTTTCAATTCAGAAGAATGAATGCAAGAATGAAAACCAAAAAACATGATAATTTTTCACATATAAATATAAATATATTGTATTTTTAAAACTTCCTACTTTCTCTGTTTACTTTGTTACATTGTTTTCTTTTCTTATGTTTCTATATTTTTTAGTTCTGCTGCTGTTGTCATTTGCCATTGTTCTTTCCATTTCCCTTGGTGAAGAAGGGTAAGAAAACCAGTATTTTCCTATTATTATTACTTTTGCCATGGTTTTTTTCTTTGATTAAAACATGGCACTGCTGAAATGCCACTGCCAATAGTAAAGAAAAATAGAAAGTGTGCGGAGCTGTTGTGTGCAGTCATAAAGCATGTGGGGGTTGGCAGAACACTCGAGAAGCACTCTGCTACGTGACGTGCTTCTCCTAACACGTAGCAGAGTGCTTCTAGACACTTCCCGAGTGTTCTGCCAATCCCCAAGTGCTTTATAACTGCACACAGCACAGCAAGCAAGTTTTTTATTTCTTTTATGAGATACAAATTACAGGAATGACAAAACTGAAAGGGCACACATGTGCTGTGTGCCCTCATAAAGCACATGCTTCCAACCAATCAGAATGCGAGATTTAGAACAGTTATTTTATAATATATTTTAGAGTAGGCTATCATTTGTTTTACCTTATTTATTGCGCTATATTCTTTCAGGTTTGCCAAGCAATCCCATGATTGGAAGTACTTTGTGTTTAGTCAATGGTGGCCACAATCCCAGTGCTATTATAAAGAAAATGCAGATTCATTAGTAAGTAATATACTCTCCCTGGGTGGGGTGGGATGGAGTCRGGGGGGGGGGGTTGACGCTCGTAAGAATTGAGTTTTCTGTTATACCTTTTTTAAGCTAAAGGAGATGGCGAGCCTAGCCTTCATTTATTCATTCATTTTTCATTCGTTCATTCATTCATCCAGCCTTTTTTTTGTTTTTCAATAACTTCCCCAGACAGATCAAAGCTTTAGAATAGTGAATGATTATAGATTCAGAAATGACTGTGTTCCAAATGATGTGGAAAACTGGACCATACATGGTCTATGGTGAGTAATTAAATAATAATTAATGATAAATAATAATAATCATTATTATATAATTACCAATGAAATATATTTTTTTCTCTATTTCGAAAAATTGATATTTTCACACGTGAAAATAACATGTTATTTTCACGTGTGAAAATAACACCATTGCGATGGCTATTCGAAAATACACGGAAAGAATTGCCTGAAAAAGCCAAAACATACTTTCATTGATAATTATATAATAAACAGAATATTACATGGGTGCTTGGAGATTACGAAATTTATCTTGTTGTGTTGAAAATCTCTCACTCGTTCGCTGTGCTCACTTGTGAGAGATTTTTCAACACTCGAAGATAAATTTCGTATCTCCGTGCGCCCATGTAATATCCTCTATTTATCATCATCATTATTATTATTTCGTTATTATAATATTATCATTATCATTATCATCATCATCATTATTATCATCATTATTATTATTTCATTATTATAATATTATCATTATTATTATTAATAAATGATTACATCATTTCATCTATTCTCTGTTCTTGGAATATTTTGGTTTTGGCTTGGACAACGTTTTTTGAAATGCATATACAGTCAATGTCATTAACGTTGTCCACC